CATGCGCTTGCATCGCATCGCATGCACTTGCATAACGGTCGCGCGGCGCAAATTCGTCCGCGCAGAGCCTCCCGCGCCAAGCCTTCGTTTCGACAACCCATTTTCCCCACAACATACGTGGCCACTCCGCCCATTACATGCCCACCAGCGCATGATACTCCCGGATCATACGGGCTCCAAGAACATCCTCCCCCCACAAACAGCACTCGGATATCACGACTAGACCGGTCTCGGGGCAGCATTCCCAGAACTGCACGAGTTACAGCCCATACTCCACACCTGTTTAGATACAGAGTTACAGCACTTCAGGCACTACCTGCCACACAGACCACGTTCACGTCTCCGACACAAACCTATCGAACCGTATCTTTTACTGGCACAGGAAACGTCTGAACGTCTTCTCCTCAACTACAAACGGTCCATGGTATCTTCTCATCCGACTAGAGCATTCATTCAACACATGAATAACCATGTAATCACCCACAACCACTACTTGGCGTGACCAGGTATCTAGCATCCGGCCACAATTGTCCACAATTGTCCACAATTGCCAACAACAGAACCTTCCTCATCCATTAGAACTTAGCTCCATTCATTCAAACTATACCTCCTGCAAATACAGGGACTGTCTGAACTTCCTCTTCTCAATTAAAACACACCCAACAGCTTGACCAAACCTTTCCTTTGATTGATATTACACGGAAAGATACAGCAAACAAGAACTGGCAGTACTTCAAACATATCTTATACTGGAATAAACACTTATATTTCTAGATAGTCAAGCCTAACGCAACGACTTCATCCATTTCCACTATCCATCTGAAAGACTACAAACTTCTCTCAATGTAGAATCAGATTCCCGGCATCGTTGGCTCATTGACAAAATACATAGAACAGGCTGTACATCAGACAGGCTGCATATTCTCGAACACACTCGGGGAATTCAATCTCGTCCTCATGCAAACCCCATCATGCTGAAAAGAAAATTCTTATCCTAGATCCTGGCCATCGGCTCGTCCGGAATATCGCAGATAACACTTTTGACAGAACTCATTCTGATCCTAACAGAACTCATTCTGATCTTCTGGTCCATCTCGTCTATCACAGCCAGCCATCTACTCACCTCATACCCTG